CCCCCCTCCCTCTTTACCCTGCTGTGTCCCAACATCCCACCTGTGCCACGTTGTCCTTGCTGACTCGCATAAGGAAGTGGTGCCCCTCCTCCTGGGGTAGGCCCGGCATCGCCGCAACGGCCCGCCTCGCGCACTCGTTGAACGAGACCGTGTAGTTCTCCGACAGCCGGAATTTCGCCCGCCGCCAGAACATGGCGCACCCGTCCACCTGGAAAATAGAACGGGATGGAAACGAAAACGGGACACGGTATGGATCAAGGAGTGGAACACAGAATACAGCACGGAATGGAACACGTAAGTGTACAAGGAATGAAACAAGGAACAGAATACGGCACAAACCGGAATGGATAAAATGGATGAAATGGATCGGAACGTACACGAAAAGGGCGGGATGATGGTACATATCTGAAACCCATTGAGACCAGAGATGCATACACGGAATAGGCGCAACAAGTGCTCTCGGAATGGTTTGGTGCATTGGAGCGAGTCCTGCGCGCCATCTCCGCGCCAGACGAGGTAGGCCCCCCGTTGCCCTAGGCGCGAAGAAAAACGGGGTTGCCCTTAGCCCATCCCCCGCTCGCTCTTGGCCTTTAAACAGGCCACCGTGCCGCCGTTTCGAACAAGCACACGCCGAAACCCCTACCGCAAAAATAATCCCCAGCCAGCCAACCACTTCCCTCCATACGCCAAAACCCCGACGACCGCCATCCAACTACCATCTCCATGCCCCCCTCCCTCGTCTTGGCCTTGTACAGACCGTCGTACCCCCCTTTCGAACCGAACACGCCGAAACCCCCAACTCAACAACAATCCCCAACCAGCAAGCCACTTCCATACACCAAAATGCCGCCGACGGCCATCCGTTCATCCATCCATCCATCCATCCATCCAAACAAACTCACCTTCCCCATTGCCCCCTCCCTCGTCTTGGCCTTGTACAGACCGTCGTACCCCTTCTCCGAGAGGTGGGGCTGAAAGAACTGCTGGTACGCGTCCGACTGCACCTCCTGCAAGCACAGCACGTCGGCCCCCGCTTCCAGCAGCTCCCGCAGCAGGTTGGTCTTGCGGTACCCTGGAGGGCGGCGCGCGAAGCAGAGTTCGGGGGCCATTGCCACAACGCGAGGCAATTCCCATCGAACGCAGAACACGATGTTCGAAACAAGGCAAAGCAGGAACGGTACGCAGATTCGCGTTCCAGCCCATTCCGTTCCTCAAGAACGCAGTGTTCCCGCCAACAGTACTCCATCAACCGCCGAACAGCGGCAGCAGCAAAACAACAAAAAGCAGTCCCAGAATGTTTTGGCGGCGCATCCACGGAATAAAAAACGGGTCGTTCGATCAGGATCAGCACGAGGGCCCCGAGTCCCACGGAGACACAAACTACACGCTACAACCGAACAGTACAACCGATTTTCGCCGACGATGAGAGCCGCCGCAACCGTAGACGACCGATCGTTCACAGACGGGCAGAGCACACGCAACAGCAACGCGTCATTGTCGGCACAAACTACCGCGCGGACACACCCCTAACCCCTCAAGTACCCACGCTCGAAAACGCGGGCGTTCACATATACACACAAAAAAAAAAATAAGGCGAGAAAAAAATGAGGAAAAAATATGTTGAGGAACAAATACATCCATGAGGAAGAAGGAAGGAAAAAAAAGAGGGAAAAAGGACGAGGAAACAAAGGAGGTCTCACCCCAAGACAGCGCCCAGAAGTCGCAATACGGATAAGCCTGCTGCGTCGCGTAAATCTCCGCCAGCAGGTTGTACGAGCACAGCCGAAACCGTACTCCCCCGCCGCTCCCAACCCCCTTGACCGTCACCAACGATCGCCGTGGCGGAAGCGGCGGAGCTGACAAGAAAAGGGGGAAAAGGAGTGGTGTGTGGTGTGTGTGAGAACACGAAAAAAATCATCCAAAAGAACAACGTGCCGAACTAGGGTGCAGATGTCTGTCGATGACGTCGTTGATAGATTTGAAGAGAACCATCAACACCGGAGTTGCCCTTACGCGTATGCCCCACCCACCGCGCATCCGGAGCATTGTTAGTAAACCCTGCATATCGTTCCGTCCCGGCATGCGAGGTCTATGGTCTGCCGACTACGACATGCGCTTACATGAGCACCCCTCCCCCCCCCCCCCCC